CCCACCCCCCCACTCCCCGCCCCATTGGCCTGCACACGCGGAAGCAGTGGGGTTCTTTCACTGGATTTAAAACTGCAAACACCAGAGAGGAAGTTGAGAAAGACCCGCAAAGCTTCCTGACACCCAGAGTGGAAAATGAAAGACTAGCAGCTAGAAAGGAGGAGGAGGAGGAGGGGAAGAGGGGGGAGAGGGGAGAGGGGAAAAAGAAACTAAATGAAACATTTGCAGCCAGAAATGCGCCCTTTGGTGGCGCCTTCTGTGCATCTGGACCCGCTCCACCGTCCTCCCCGCCTGTCAGCCACCATCTCAGAGCCGGGCCGATGCCGCCCGCGCTCCTGGGACAGTCCCTCTGACACTGTTCGTTACTCATTTCTCCTGTGCGCCTCCCTCCTGACCCCGCTGCTGAGAAGCCACCGGAGGCAGGAGAGGGCTCGCTCCGAACCGCCTCTTCTGGGCCCGATGGGACGCTCCCTCCCCAAGGGTCTGAGATGGAATGACGGGTCTGAGAGGAGGATGCTCAGGCCGGGAGGGCAGGAGGGCAGGAGGGCAGCGTCTGAGGTCCGGGTGGGGGTCCGCGTGGTGCTCGTGAGGGACAGGAGGACCCAGAGAACAGGAAAGGGTTCAGGAACAAAGGTGGTGATGAGGCCGGCCGACGATTCAGTAAAAATCAAGATCATTTTTTCTCTGGGGAAATCTAACGCTGGTTTCCCCGCCTGGGAAAACGAAGACGTGGCTGAAGCTCCTGCTGTTACAGAAAAACCGGACCAGAACCAAACAGCGCTCAGAGTTCGGAGTTACACTCTATTCACCGCGGCGGGCTCAGGGAAATTAATCCAAATTCTAAGCAAAGCTACAACAGAACTTCCCTTTTTATGGAAGAGCCAGTCCTTTGTGCACTTGCTGGCGGCGGCCTTGAAAACTACACAGTTCTATCAATTAAAAACTGCACCTGGCATGGCATTGGGCGTATCTAGACCAGCCGTGGGCAAACTACGGCCGGATCAGCCCATTTGAAATGAATAAAACTAAAAAAAGAAAAAGACCGTACCCTTTTATGTAATGATGTTTACTTTGAATTTATGTTAGTTCACACAAACACTCCATCCATGCTTTTGTTCCGGCCCTCTGGTCCAGTTTAAGAACCCATTGTGGCCCTCGAGTCAAAAAGTTTGCCCACCCCTGACTAGTCTCTGGCCTACAAGGTCAGGCAGCTAAGTTTATCTCCCCCATTTTTCAAGCAGGCTAGAAAGCAAAGTTATTTTTTCCAGAATAAGAGGCCGTCCAAAGAATAGCAGAGAATTCCAAACAGTAGTTTTACAGAATAGGGGTTTTCCTTCACAGTGCGAAGGTGGTGGAAGGAAAGGACACCATCTCCCCGCCTGGTTTACTAATCCCCGTGGGATAAAACAAAGGAAAGCCAGACAGTGAAGCCGCAGTCAGCTCTGAATTTTGTTTTAAATTTTATTGAACTTACTGGGGTGACATTGGTTAATGAGGTTATAAGGTTTAAGTATAAAATTGTAGAATATATCATCCATACATTGTTTTGAGTGTTCACCACCCAAAGTCAAGTCTGCTTCCATCCCATTACTCCCTGATTTTTTTGGTTCAGTTATAATTCACGTTCAATACAGACCTGAATTTTAACCATTAACTTCTACTCCTTACCTCTCTAACCGCTTCAACTGGACTCTAAACTTTTGTAAGAACGAAACAAATTGATTTTTTTTGTTGTTGTTTTACTTTTTCTCCTTCATTTCCAAGCTTTCTGAAAGAGCCGTTAATGAGTAGTGAAACAAACACATGTGGGAAAGGAAGGGGAGAGGTAACTGGTATACCAGAACAACGAGCTAGATGGCTTTATTTTTGTTAATCTTCAGATATTTTTTCCATTTTTTTTTGAGAGAAAGTGGAACCAGGGAGGGAGGCAGAAAGAGAAACATTGATGTGAGAGGGACACATGCAGATGTGAGAGACACATTGATTGGTTGCCTCCCCTACGTGCCCTGACCAGGGCCAGGGATGGAACCTGCAACAAAGGTATGTGTCCTTGACCAGAACCGAACTCAGGACTCTTCAGTCCGAAGGCTGACACTCTAACCACTGAGCAAACCAGCCAGGCTAGATGGCTTTATTTATTTATTTTTGGATTGTTAAATTTTTAATTATTAAAGTAAAATGCAAAAAATAAAGTAAAATGCAGTCCTCTAAAGTGACAAAGTTGCGCTGAACAGAAATTCATTTTGCACTATTAGTTCACTAGGGCTTCCATTATAAAGTGCCACAGACCCTACAGACGGCTTTAGAGAGAAGTGTTCACACCAGGCTCTGCTACCTACCTGTCTGTGAAATGGGGACAATGATTACTTGGAAAAATTGGGTGAGAAATAAACTAGGTGTAGCCCAGTCGGTTGTTCAGTGGTTGAGTGTCCACCTATGACTCAGGAAGTGAAGGTTTGACTCCCGGTCAGGCACGTGCCTGGGTTTCGGGCTCGATCCCCAGTGTGGGGCGTGCAGGAGGCAGCTGATCAGTGATTCTCTCTCATCATTGATGTTTCTCTCTCTCTCTCTCCCTCTCCCTTCCTCTCTGAAGCCAATTTAAAAATATTTTTAAACTAGATGTAAGGGCACCTAGCACGCACAAGGAGTGTAGTGTACTTTGAGTAAAGGGTATGCAAGTCCTGGCCAGGTAGCTCAGTTGGTTAGAGCATAGTCCCGATATGTCAAGGTTGTGGGTTGGGTCCCCTGTCAGGGCTCACACAAGAATCAACCAATGAATGCATAAATGACTGGAACAACTAGTCGATGTTGCTTTCTTTCTCTCTCTCAAAATACATAAATAAAAAATTTTAAATATTTTTTTTTTAGTAAAGGAGGAAAGTTCCCTTTAAAAGTGGGGGCGATGCCCTGGCCAGTGTGACTAAGTTGTTAGAGCATCAGCCCACACACTAAAGGGTCCCAGATTTGTTTCCCGGACAAGGGCATGTACCTGGGTTGCAGGTTCGCTCCCCATCATGGGTCAGATGTTTCTTTCTCTACACCACCATCCCCTTCTGCTCTCTGAAAAGCAATGGGAAAAATCTCCTCAGGTGAGGATTAACAACAACAAAAAGGGGGGAATGCACCCAGGTTTGGGGTTCCATCCCCAGTCGGGGTGTGTGCAGGAAGCAGGTGATTGATGTTTCTCTCTCTCACGTGAATGTTTCTCTCTCCCTTCCTCTCTCTAAACTCAATCAATAGCCTGGCCGGTATGGCTCAGTGGTTGAGCACTGACCCATGAACCAAGAGGTCACCAGTTCAAATCCCCCATCAGGGCACACGTCTGGGTGGTAGGCTCAATCCCCAGTCGGGGAGGAGTGTAGGAGGCAGCCGATCAATGATGTTTCTCTTTCACCTATGTTTCTATCTATCCCTCTCCCTTTCTCTTTAACAATCAATAAAAATATATTTTAAAAAATAAATAAAATCAATCAATAAATAAAAGGGGGGTCTGCAAAAAGTTCAAAAGGGGGAAAGTAGGTCTTGCTCCCCTTCCTTATCCTGTTCTTGCAATTCTCAGAGTCGATTCTAATGCCATTATGTGTACTCACTGTGCGTTTCCTTCTTTCCTTGATGAGGCTGTAATGATTCACTCAGATTTAAAATTCCTTCCCTATAAAATGGAGCGGTTCTCAGCATTTAGTCATTACTACTTCATAATTAAAATGCTACACAAATATGAGGTGTTATTCTTCTTAAAAGGAAAAGCAAGGCCTAGACACACTGTATTTTGAACTTTCTTTAGAACAGAGGTCTCCCGGGTCCTTAGAATCAGCCCCATTGACTGCTTTGTTCCATTGGGAGTGTTCCCATCCCCACCTTGCCTTCAGCGGGGAGGAAGGCCAAGCCCCTGTCTGACACGCCCTGGTCTGTCCCGCAGGTAATCACTTACTCCGGCCATCATGTCTACGATAACCTGACTGAGGAACAGAAGGGCCGAGTGGCCTTTGCTTCCAATTTCCTGGCAGGAGATGCTTCCCTGCAGATCGAGTCTCTGAAGCCCCGAGATGAGGGCCTGTACACGTGCAAGGTGAAGAATTCGGGCCACTACGTGTGGAGCCACGTCGTCTTAAAAGTCCTAGGTAAGGTAGAGTGCCAGTGTAAGCGCCTACCTGGGCAAGGGACGGCCACAGCCATCGTGGTACTACAACATCCTGTTCAGCACTCTTTTAGATTGAACTCATTGGGGTGACACTGGTTAATAAAATGTATGGGTTCCAGGTGTATAGTTCTATACAATAATACATCACCTGTGTATTGTGTTGTGTGTTCACCAAACGGGATGTTCAGTACTTTGGAGTCTACGTAATTCAGATGTCACCTACTCCAGTTTGCTGGGAAGAAGTATGTTCTGTACTTTAACGGTAATGCAAGAAGAAAAAACAATCACAACTTTCTATGGTAGCCCTTAAAAAATTAAATATCCTCTAATATTTGAATGATATCCTTATATTTAGCTTAAATCTCTCAGATGATTTAAATCCATTTGTTTTTTTAACAGCAGAAGCTACTTAATATCTGCCAAATGAATGAACTCCTATCCTTGTCTCAATATTAGTAAAACCATACTCAGTTTTCCTAAAATTTCCAATTAAATGTGTTTCTTCTTTGAGAATGATGTGGTTTTTGAGGCCGTCTCTGGAAATTCCACCATTGGAAGCAGCTGGAGTGGGTGTGCGTGCAGAAGGGACAGAGCAGTGTATTTCTGGAGGTGATGGAACACAGGGCAGGAAGCTAGGTAACGGCCCTTGAATCCCCACTCCAAAGTGAACCATCAGGATGGCCGGGGAAACTCAACAGGATATAGTTCTTCCATTGAGTCTATTGTTTGGGGATCTTTGAGTCAGTACTTTTTTCCCTCTTTCTTTCTTGCCAGTGAGACCGTCGAAGCCCAAGTGTGAGCTGGAAGGGGAGCCGAGAGAAGGCAGGGACCTGGCCTTGCAGTGTGCATCGTCCTCTGGCACTGAGCCCATCGTGTATCACTGGCAGCGAGTCCGGGAGAAGGAGGGGGAGGAGGAGCGTCTGCCTCCCAAATCCAGGATCGGTAAGTCATCTTCCCGCCGGTCTATTGAGACAACAGGACGGAACTGTCCGTGAATTCCAAACTGGACAGCAATCACCATGCGACCTCAACTACACTCCTGCATCTATGACCTTCCATTTTCACCCATAAACTGGGACTGTCTTTTCTGTTCTCAAATGGATCGTAAAGTGTAAAAAACATTAGAAAGAAATGCACCAAATAAATCCACTCTATCTATCTTGGTTAGCCTCCCTTAAATGTTCACAGCCCTTTGTAACTTTTGAGGATTTGCCATCATTTAAAAGAATGTTCACCTTTCTTCCCACATCCCCACATGGGATCTATTCTGTCATCTCTCTCATCCTTACCAAATGGGACTAGGGAATCTTGGGTAGATGATGTAATAAAGTCAACACAAAATGCAGAGCCTGCGCTGAGGGAATCGCATCCTTTCTGCCTGCGTAGACCACAGCAACCCGGGCCGCGTGCTGCTGCAGAACGTCACGGCGGCCTCCTCGGGACTTTACCAGTGCACAGCGGGCAACGAGGCCGGGAAGGAGAGCTGCGTGCTGCGCGTCACGGTGCAGTGTAGGTATCCGCAGGTGCTGCTTCCCCCGCACTGTGCTGCAAACATGTCAACATGTGGAACAGGTTTGATTGTAAGAGTAACCGTTATTTCCAGGAGAACATGGCTGTCACCCAAATCAGCCCAGTAGTTGCAAGGACCATTCGGCAGTTGTGTGAGCTCTTTCTTTACAATCATGTGTCAGCTTTCTAAAGAAATGTATTATATCTGGGCGGGGACCAAGTGGAGATTTCCTTTATAAACTTCCCTTACCAAAGGGTAACTTCCGTTTTTAGAGCTTTTCCTGTGTCTGCAGTTTCTCAGAAATGATCAGCTTAAAATAATCTTAAAGTTGGAGAGGCATATTTGGGGTGGCATATCCTACTACCCTTCAACATCAAGCGGGGGAGGCAGACACCGGGGGTAAGTGGGGACTCAGGAAGATAACGCTCTGGGCATACGCATCCTGTCCAGGGCTTAGGTCCTTTAAGTTCATGCATCTCCTAGTTTGTTTCATTTCGTTTCCGCTTTCGTTTCTGAGAAAACAGATGTGCAGAGCATCGGCATGGTGGCGGGAGCAGTGACCGGCATGGTGGCCGGGGTCCTGTTGATCCTCCTCTTGGTGTGGCTGCTAGTCCGAAGGAAAGACAAAAAGAGATACGAGGAAGAAGAGAGGCCTAATGAAATCCGGTCAGTCCCTCCAACATCTCCTCTCCCACTAGGCCTTTCCTGGGGCCATTCCACAGCGACCAGCAACATAGTGGCCCATTTTCTCTCACCCAGGGGTCTGTGTGAGGGTTATTCTGGTAGGCAAGGAGGACCAGCCTCGGACAGAAGGTCTGGCTTGCCTTTAGGGAAACTGTCTCTCCTCCAGAGATATAAGTGATCAACCCCCCCATCACTTCTGATCCCTTCCGCTTAGAGCGGGCACACCCACGGTCCACAAAAGGGTTTCCATGGACAAACCCCAGCTCAAGGGGCATGTAGTCTTCTAGACCATGTCAATGGCCAGAGCATCTTCTCCCAGAGTGAGAGCTCATCTCTGAGCCACAAAGGGAGGTGCATGTGCCTAAGCCACGCTTTGAGCCTCAGAAAGTGGGCAGTCCCTGTTCCCTTCATGGCTGCCTTCGGTGGTTATTACCTGAGGTTTGCAGCTTGAGGACTTTATTGGGAAACTTCAGAAGGAAGCAACCGCAGGGGAAAGATCCCAGTCTTTCCAGTGTTACATCTCCCTCTGCTGTGTTTTCCCTTCAGAGAGGATGCCGAGGCCCCAAAAGCCCGCCTGGTGAAGCCTGGTTCTTCGTCTTCTGGCTCTCAGAGCTCCCGCTCCGGGTCCTCCTGCACGCGCTCCACCGCCAACAGCGCCTCCCGCAGCCAGCGGACACTGTCCCCGGAGGCTGTGCCCCCGCCCGGGCTGGCCACCGGCACCTACAGACCTGTGGGGCCAGAGGCCAGAGGCTGTGAACCAAAGCGAGTGCACCCTGCTCCCCTGGCCAAAGCGGAGAGCACGGCCAGCAGGATCCCCAGCCGGAGCCGGCCCCTCCAAACTGTCTAAATCCCCGGACTCTGACTCCCAGGCTTTCCCGGGAGTCAGAATCTTAGGACTTTTCTAGTCACTAGTTCAGCCACCAGCCACACAGTCCCCTCGATTCGCAGAGAGGTCACTCTGTAGCGGGGAGCGTGGCATGGAGCAGGTTCAATGCGCATTCTCCTTAAATGACACCAAACAAGGGGAGGGATGTCAGCTGACCACGTCCGGCAAGGCTTCGGACAGGAGTGGGGGGAGCGGGTCTAGATCCGGGCATCTGTGGACCAGACCTGTGGTGAGAAAGGCAGAGAAAGGGGGAGGGAACCCATGCGAAACTTCTCGCCTGAGATGTTTTGTATCAATACTTCAGTTCACGATTGTCAAGAAGTGAGGTGTTGTTCATACATTTTTCCTGCCTTTCTGCAAACCTACTGAATTATTGTGATTATCCAGAGTCAAGGAGAACCCACAGCCTTATACTACACCTTTCTGCACCAGGGACTGGGATTGCCGCTTCTGAGAAACTCCAAACAGGAAATGTCTCTTCTATTCTGTCTTGATCTCATTTACCATAAGGTTTGGATATGAATTTCAAGAGGAACTGAAATAATGGGAGATGGAGATGAATTGAGTTTCTCCTACTCTATCCAGCACTAATTTTCTTCTACTCACATTGGACCATTAGAGCACTAAAAAAGGAGTCCAAAATGTGTGACAAGGGACTATGAGAAACCTTTCATCTTGCTGTTCAGAGGGTCCCTGACAAATATCAGAACTGTATGCTGAACAATTGTGGGTTTTCCCTCAAGTCAGATGTCTCCATACTGCCCTGCTGGATCTCTCTGGAGCAAGAAAGCATTCACTGTGTCATTTCACAAGGTCCTTAGAAAGAAGTCTTCCAGGGCAAGAGACCTCTTAGAGATGCTGGAAGACCGTGATGTACCATTATAGTTTCTGAGAACACACAAAACCAGCATTTCCAGACTGACTGGGTTAGGCAGGGAGATTAGGTCACTTTTCCTAATGTCACAGAATGGCATAAGGAAGTGCAGAACTGCACCGAACTCGGAGCTTTCTCTATTTGTTTCCTCTTAAGAAGAGGATGTGAACCTGGGACTTCTGACGATTCTAGGCCTTAGGTTATCAGAAAGGTCAGGGATTGCCAACATTTCCTACTGGCACTGCAGGTATGTCAGTCATTCCTGCCTGAGAAGTTGGGACAGAGCGAAGTTCATTGTTTTACCAGCTGAGTCTGTAAGTCTAGCTCTGGGCTACAAGGAAATGGAATCAATTTGAGGAAGAGATGGTAAGGCTCTCTAGTGAGCGGCAGGAGAGGTGGGGTTAATGCCTGTTAACACTCGGTCGGCATCTTGGAAAGAATAGGCAAAAATGGATCACCAGGATAGCTCTCAGAAGAGCTGATCCATGGGAGAAGAAAGGTCTGAAAAATTAAAAACAAAACCAAACCGCAGCCTCCAATAAAATAACTTGCCCTTTTAATAGTTTTGACTATCCTACTACTCAAATTCATCCTATGCAGCAATTCAAAACCTGAAATAGCCCTTCAAGGACCCTAGTGCAAATGTCAACAGATCACTAGCAAAGCAAAAGATTTATGGTTGAAAGGGCAGCAGAGGCTATAGAAAAGAAAAAGCAACGCTGAAGATGGTGATGAAGCATTGCTTCTAAATCAGATACTGAAAGGGAGAAGGCTGCTCTGGAACTGGGCCCCATTTCTCTGGTTTTTCATTTCTACATTTAATTCTTACAACAGTGTCTTCAAATTGTGCAAATGCATTTCTTCTAAAGCCCTTTAAAGAAATAGGGGTTTAGCCCAGCCAGCATTGCTCAGTGGTTGAGCATTGACCTATGAGCCAGGAGGTCACGGTTCAATTCCTGGTCAGGGCACAGGCCCAGGTTGTGGGCCTGATCCCCACTGTGGGGTGTGCAGGAGGCAGCCGATCAGTGATTCTCTCTCATCATTGACGCTTCTATCTCTCTCCCCCTCTCCCTTCCTTCCTGAAATCAATAAAAATATATTTAAAAAAAAAAAGGAAATAGGGGTTTGGCCCTGGCCAGTCACTCAGTGGTTAGAGCATCAGCTCATGGATCTAAGGGTCGACGGTTCAGTTCCTGGTCAAGGGCACATACCTCAGTTCCAAGTTCAATCCCCAACCCTGGTTGGAGCGCATGCAGGAGGCAATCAATCAATGTCTCTCTCTCACATGGATGTTTCTCTCCCCCTCCTCCTTCCTTTCCATTCTCTAAACATCAATGAAAAAATATCCTCTGGTAAGGATTGAAAAATAAGTAAATTTAAAAAAGGTGGGGGGGGCGGTTGTCAGTGGTTAGAGCATTGGCCTGCACACCAAAGGGTCTCAGGTTTGATTGCAGGTTTGATCACCAGCCCCAGGCATGGCCACCAATGTGACACATCGACATTTCTTTCTCTCCCTCCATCCTGCCCTCCTACTCTCTCTAAAAATCAACAGAAAAAAATGTCCTCATATGAGGATTAACACACACACAAATAGGGGCTTACCTTGGGTGAAAGTTCTCATCTGTGTTTTCTTACTCTTTAAAGTTGAGAAATAAGAGACATTGAGGAAGTAGTATAAAGAATGTCTAATGTTAGTTTAACTTCAAAGGGCTAGCAAATTTGGAATGTTTCTTGTACTGACACTGCCTCATTGTAAGATAAAAAGTCCCTCACTTTTTCATTCTTGTAGTGGTATCCAGCAGCTTATCATTTCTGCTGGATAATATTGAGAATTCTCTATCCCAGAGAACCTGAGCCACACAAGGGCCTACGGACACTGCATCACTAGCAATTTTGCTCTGATCATTACTTCCTACCTTGAACCTAGGGCCACGCCTTGGAAAGTAGGATTTAGTCCCCTTTGCATGAAAAGGCGTTTAGGTTATTCAAACAAGTAGTTATTAGAAGAGTAAAATACCAGTTGAATAATCCAAATTCTTTTGGAAATCAACTCACACTGGAAATCTATAAAACAAGTCACAAAACTGGTAACTACCTAAAATCTGAGAAATTCTAGGGCTTGGAGATTCTGAGAGAGAAGGTGATGAGCTCTTAGCAATGGTGTTGACCTTCCTCTTTGAGTCAAGCTTTTGAGTTCAGATATGACAGGCTCCAGGCTTAAGATAAAGTTTGAACCGTTACTGTTTTCAAACCACATTCCATTAATTTTGCAAGTCAGATAAGTTTGATCCTTGAATACGAAACAAACAAACAAAGGCTACAATCACTAAACGTTAGAAGAAAAATATGTCCGGAAGAGGATACAGACAGACTGATGTGAATGTTCAGAGAATAACCATTTCAATAAAATATATAAACTGAACTTAAAACTGAAAAATAATGAAGTTGATGCCTTTGTTATTAGACTGTAGAAAAAGTTTCAGAATTGCTGGTGCAAAAACACATTAATTTTGCCTCATTTCTGTTAAGCCGTTTATACTTCCATCTTAACTTCTCAGTTGCCTTGTAATCGGGACTGTGATCAAAAAACAAATATTTATTACAGATGGATCTGTGTCTGCAATGAAAACAAGTAAAGGTGATGCTGTAGGGAAGGCTGCAGCTCATATAACCTGCCCAGGGAATTGGTTTATTAGCTTTCTGCCAACTAAAGGACAGAATTCAGACTGAATATATCTGCTCTTTGTTGATTTCAGTCACAAATACACCAACAACGTGTCTCTCTCCCAAGGCGCGGCGCTGGGCAGTCCTGGAGACACCCCGCGATAGTGGGTCCACGCTAGACCCCCCCCTCCCCCCCTTTAGGGACTTTATCGGAATAACAGTGTTTGCTAAGCAAGGGCAGGTGACGCACCCACAGGAGAGCAAGTACCGGACCCCAGTGAATCTGGGGCCCCGCGGCATGGAATGGGGCGACGGCGCAGCCCCGTACCGCGCTC